TGAAAGCATATTGGGTTTCAACTTCAGTTTGTAAACTATATGGAACATCTTCTGTGCCAACATTTTTGTACAGAACAGTACAATGAATTAAACAGAACAACTGTTAAGCAAAATATAATAAATAGAAAGAGTACTTATATTATTAATCGTGTTATGGGTAGCGTAGTGCAGTGAAGATTGTGAATTACATAACAGATTATGTCAATCGTAACGTTGTGTGAAATACAGTACAATTTGAAAATTACATGTAGTGCACAAAACAATCAATACAAATTAAATAGGTAGAAAATTATTAGTGAAAGTGCAGCCTCAAAACAGTGTGAAAAGTATATAGAACATCTTGTCAGTCAAAATATGGAGAACATACAAATCCATTGCAAAAATTACTTAAAACTAGGTGTACAATGCAGTTGTCTGCTTGCAATATTGAGCGGAGCCAGCATATTAATTCAATGTCAATGATATATTTGGTTCGCATAAATGTAATGCCTATTTACAGATTCTAAAGTCAATGGTACGTCCAGTTCACGTAGACGGATTGTTTACTTGTAGTATCCAAACTCAATGGTGCATGTAAATGAATAATCTACTTGCAGTATCCTAATTGTCCATTTATTTCGTTCATTTAGATAAAATGCCGAATTGCAGTATCCGAAGTCAATGGTTGGCTTAGGCATACTTCTGCTTCACTTATATGGGATGTCTATGTGCAGTATTCAAAGTACGTGAAATGATACGTCGGGTTCATGTCAAAGAATTGTCTAATTGCAGTATCGAAACTATGAGCAAAGATTACATATGCTAACGCAAAAATTTGCGTTAGCATATGTAATCTTTGCTATGAGTGTTATATTTGGTTCACCTTAATGGAATACCTATTTGTAGACTGCAAATAGGAATTGCAGTGCATATTCAAAGTCTACATTAATGGCACGTCTTGATCACATAAAATACTGAAAAAGTTATTTACAGAATCCAAACGCAATATGGTGCATTCGCCTAATTCTGGCAACCCTTATGGTTATCCATTTTGTAGTAAATTATGCTCAATGCTATTAATCAAAAGCAGGAGTGTAGGATAAGAAAAGTTAAAGTCAATGATATAAGAGCTTTGCTACGCTCTGCTCAATAATTTCTATATCCTGCAAATGAATCATGGTAAACCTATGCGATACCTGCATTATTAAAAGGCAATAACGATTATTATTTGAGATCGCAGGTTCGAATCTCCTCGGCGGCCTTAAAATTTTGCTTCTGATTTTGTTATAATATGATTTTCTCTTAACTTCACTGATCAGTTTTTTTTAGACATTTATAACTTAATTTTGTGATAAGAATGCATTTTTTATAAATACATTAACTTTTTGTGGTAATCATTTCCTAACAGCGAATAATTGAGATAGGCTAATCGATTTTTAAAATTATCGATTCGTTTTTAAGTATAGACATATAACTTAGGTCTAGTTTTATTTTAGCAGTTAAAAGTAAGAAATATATTGTCAACCACTTTCAAGTTTTCCCTTTGGTGCAGTAAAATTTATCAATACGACTATAATGTAGACTAAAAAGAATAAGTGAAAACTTTAGGAATTGGTTTACTGGTACGTTTCATTACATTTATAATAACATCAAAATAAGCAGTTTGCTTAACTTGAAATCTTATTTTTCCTAGTAGCTGGAACCTATATACTTTTCCAACTTAACTTGTTAAAAAGAACATAACGATTATGCAATTAAATATAAACGTCATGATTTTAATCACTCAATATAGAACTGATTGTTAATCAATTCGTAATACATGCAATTAACTAATATATTCTTTAGTATTCATCACATATTTTTCTTTTGTACTGTATTTATAATCATGGTAGATTTGTTGACTAACATATGTCGAGGCTCTTGTTTACTTTTTAGTGTTGACTTGCAAATAATGTCATGGCAACCAATTAACCCATAAGGCCCATATTAAATTTCTAAAAGTTTGCATTCATGTAGGGAAAATTCCTATGGTCCGATTTGTACCATTTCAGATTTATACCTTCCCATGGTTGGGTACTATGACTGTGTTAAATTTCGTGAAGATCGCTTCAGCCGTTCAGGAGGAGTATTTGTAAAACAAAAGCAGGAGTGTAGTATAAGAGCTTCGCTCGCTCCGCTCAAATATGGTGCTGTATGTAAAGTATATACAACAAAGTGTAAGTTGAACTAGTACAGTATGGAAAGGCATAGTGTGTACTGTCTTATGTAGTGCAGTGCAGTCTTATGTAAGAGTGTAAATTTCATAGAAACATTTTAGCAAGTAGAAATTATCATAGAGCAGTAAAATGCTCAAAGGAATATTGGATCGTGTAAAGTTCATCAGTACAGATTGGCAAACACAAAGAATGCAAAACAAATAATGCAGTTTACAATAAAATACAGTGTCTAAAGGCGTGTGTGTTCAATCATGTACTCGACACAATTTAGATCAGTGCAATCTGTAGGTGGCTCACATCAACTACTACAATTTCGATAAAAACCCTGGCTACGAATTAAATATGGGGATGGAATGTCTAGTTAGTTGTATTAATAGTCAAATGTTCAATTCAACGTAGATCGAGTGTAGGCCTAGTGTGTAAATTTCATAGAAGACATTGTAAGTCGATATGTGCATAGTGCAAAGGCCACTACAGTGTTTAGAGGCACATTGTTGTGTACAGACCACACGACGCGGCTGTGCTGTGGGGCGGTTGGGTGAGCGTCGCCGGCGGCCATTTTGAGATCGATGGGCGGCCCAAAGCATCGCGACGCTGAGCCCGCGGGCCAGCCAATGGGCGTTAGCGTCGCCGACTTGGGTTATCGATTCTCCCAGCATATGTGAGACGCTGCAAATGTATTCCGCATTGATTCAAACCCGACGTCTCTTTCCTTTGAAGTTCTTGATTTCTTCTCCCCCGCGACGGAGATTTAATTTCTATAAGGAATTTAAAAAGTTTTCAGGAATGTTTTACATGAAATCACACGGTTGATATGACTCACTGTAGAAGTTGTGGGTTTAGAGACAATTTTCCAATATTTTAGTCAAGTGGGGTAAAATACACCAGAGTTTTATTGTAAAATGATGATTTTATGGGAACATGAATACAATTACTAAAACTTATTATTAATTTACTACTGTATAAATAAATCAATTAATGAATGCTCAACGTCATAAGTGTTTGACATAGAAAACCTTGAAGGTCTTCCTTACAGTTTCATACTCTGGTACTTAGGCCTAATAAAAGTTTTTTTTTTAATATCGCGATTTAAAAACAAACATATTTTATCTGCGTAATTGATTTATGAAGTTAAAAGAATATTTTATAATGCAATTACTCATTTCCGCAATAATATAACATATTTTCAATTAATTATTTAATGATGTCATTAACGTAACAAAAGTGGGCCATACTCTTTAAGTGTCAAGAAATAATCATTCCTCTTAGCAGAAAATTTAAGTTGTAAGTATGGTTGAACGTATTAAGTCGATCAACATAAGAAAAGAAAGTCAATTAGAAATCACTCAAGGCAAATTAAATTTAAGTTTCTACGCCACCGAATACCTTGGAATAGTTGTTTTATATTTTTAATCAGAGTAGGATTTTCCAAGCTCCAATATTCCTCCCATATTCTTCTTGCGTGTCCAAGCGATTTGGTTCTCCTACGCCTTATCATTGCTAAAATATATGGCATTCTGCACGTATTCCTGAGATTTATTTCTCACTCTCACGTTGTCCCAATGTTATCCCTATCAAAATGTATTTGTAAAATAATATTACGTTGTCACGGCGTGCTTTTTACGAATACTGTCCATATCTCAGATGCATACATGAGCTTGATCAAGGATATTATTTGAGAAGAATTAAAAAATGTACAAACTTAGTCAAATGTGATGGACTTTACACAAGTCAGTGTCAAAACCACCTAACCTTTTCTCAATAAATCTTCCATGGTGGTAAATGCCATAAAACTAAATTTAAAGATCTTCAGGAGTGTGAGCACTCCTCAAACTATAAAGGTTTACCATCATTGCCCATACCGAACTGCAACAGGACGGATCCCTACACAATGACGACCTAAGTGTACATAGGCAGCCACTTAACATACACGGATTGCATCTTATAGTCCTGTCACAGGGGGAGGTTTAAGTGAGAAGGGAACAGCCCGGGGAGACAATCAGGGGTGGGAACAGCCACCTGGTTGACTGAACCGTGTCCATCAACCACAATCACATGGTTGAACCAATTGCGGTAGTTGGTTGCATCATGCCTACGGATGTATTCATTGTCCCATACACTCCAGTTACAGCTCCACTGTTGTTTTAGTAACTTACTACCTCTGTATTTAGATCGTAATGTATTGGATCCGATGGGTTTAGTTGAGATTTTATACAGCAAATCTTTTGTAATTATTTATGCAATAATTATTAATTCAATAAAATGAATAAATCATATCAGCCCCTTGATCGAATAATGACCATGTAGGTTAAATTATAATAGCTTTCGTTTAGCTAACTTATTTTTACTTACAACCGATGACAATCTAATGTTAAGAACTCGATTTTAACACGATTTGATTAGTTTTTGTTTTATTTATACAATTCCGACACCCTGGATACCTACCTTATTTTTAAGCGAATTTGTCGAAAGTTGATTATTGAATTAACGAAACGGTAGATTTTTTACTGACTATAAAAGTCGTATCTTTGATAAGAATTATTATTTTGAATTTTCCGGAATTAAACCGAAACCACTCTGAAATTCCCAACCATCATATTTTACTACAACTTTTAAGTCTTACTATAATACGAACACTTCAAAATTTATGCCACTCACAGGCTTATATGACGTTATCTTCATTATACCATGTTCATCTTAAGTAAGGCCTTACTTATGTCTAGTAGGGAATTTGAAACATTAAGAAAACGCAATTCTTAAATTTGTAATACTGTGCACAATTAATAATCATCTATAGATCCGTTCGTGAAGATTAGAGACTTGAATAATTTATTAGTCATACAACAACAAGTAAACAACACATCCTGCTTCCACTTAAGCTTATCATTTCTTTTTCTTTTGATCCTTTTTCTTTGCCTCCGCAGCTGCCTGCTTATCCCTCAACTCCTTATCTATTTTCGCTTTCTCTCCTCTCTTCTTGGCCAGTGGGTAGGTCGCCTCGTACCATCCCCATAGCTTATCTTTCTGTTCTTCAGAGATAGCTGCTTCACCGAGGAGAAGATCCAGCAACTCCTATTCAGACGTGGCAAAATTAGATTAAGAAATTAAACATACAGTTACTGAGCTCTGAAGCTACCGTGAAAATATCTCTTATAACACATCTCAGCGAAAAACACACATAGAAACAGGCTTCAGATTTTTAAATTGAATGAGAAATGAATTTGCACTATTCAAAGTCGATCGTCACACAAATGGATACTTTTTAAATTAGGTAAGGCCACCATAAAAGCCTTTTTATTGACATTGAGGTATTTACATTTCAGAGCTGTGCGAGGGATAAAAATATGACAATACCCATTCCTTGATCACCCTATCAATATCTACACCTAACCTAACCTGAGGATCCAAAGGGCGGTACTTGAGAGCTACGACCCTCTCTGCAGTCATGAGGTTACGGATGACTTTGTCTATGGTCGCCAATGGGTACCCTTGGGTGCACCATGCCAACGGAGAGTGGAGGAAATCGCGGTCGACTCCGTGGTACCTCATCAGCTGGAGATGCCAATAGTGCGCGCTAGTAGACTGATCTGGCGCGAGAACTGGGACGATCTTGTCAAAAGTCTTTCTCTAAAGACGAAACAAAATATCGATGAGCATTAAATCCTGTTCGAAGATAATGTGTTTAAGAACACATTACCTATTAAACGTTGAGAAAGTAATAAAAAAATAAAATCCGAAGTAAATGGTTTTTAATAGTGATAATAACAAATCAAGGAACATCTCCAAGCATCATCAATCTCCAAGCAACATTATACCCACCATCGACTTCACTTTCCCCATCCACGGAGCCTCCGATGTGGCTACGAGAAGCACCTGGTCCTGAGGACCGATAGACTTAACCATCTTGGGAAGTTGCTTTTGCAGAGCCTTTGGATTGTCTTGCTTCTCGGCCTTGGGTACTTTCTTGTAAAACACCTTCTCGCCACCTTCTATGAAAATCACGGATGGCTGTAGAATTTTTGACATCTGAAATCGTTTGAGAGCCAATTTTTAAATGCAAGTCGTGGAAGGTCTAAAGAGATTTCCATCCTCTTAAAAAGATAGAGAGTTGTTTTCAAATTAAAAATAAATACATCTTTTAAAGTATTTGTGAGTTCCCACTTTCGATACGTGATGGTTTTTTATGGTAGTGTAATAATATGCAATACACTATTTAAATTTAAATAGATCAATATAAAATCTTAAAGTTAGTCACTTAATCATCCACTTAGTGATTGGTCGAATAGATAAAGCTGGTCTCCAATCGTTCAAAGCAATATTAAGTTGGTTTAATATTTGTTTCGAGAACTCTAAACTCTACTACTATGAACCTTAACATCGTAGAAATAACATTCATTGAATTAATCACGAAAGATATCTTCAATAGTTACTGAACTAATTATACAAAACACTCCTTACCTTAGAGACCAAGTGAACCAGCATATTGAGTCCCTTTTTTCCGGAATATTTTCCCGCGGTATTTGCCGGACTGAGGTCGAACAAGACACTTCCAGTCTCCGCTACAATAGCATCGACCAGCGTTCTCTTGCCGCAGTCCGGATACCCAGCTAGCAGGAGAGAGCGTACCAGAGGGGCTGACCTATGCACAGTTACAGACCCCAGGGGTAGGATGGCGTACTCCTTCACCACCTGGCCAAGATATACATGATAAACAAGGGAAAAGTGTTAAAGGTACCATCGGAGGAGATTTCAATAAAAAATTAAGTTCAAGCTTTGACTATTGATAATTCTGTATCCAGTAGTCAATGGTTCAAGATACTCATTCGCTAATGGCCAACCTGATTTGAAACTCACGTTTAATTTTGATGGTACTTATCGTACAATCAAACTAATGGACGAGATTGATATTAATATGAAAGTAAGCAATTTCATATAAATGCTATTACCTGCTTTACATCCCAAAGGTTTGGTTGCGAGTTTTGCCACCAAGGCTCCCGCCTGAGATCATAATTTTTCCAAGACGGATCACAGAAAAACGAGTCAATCTGTATGTCCTGGCTCTTCTTTACTATTCCGTTTTCGACCAGTTCGCGAAAGAGAGACTCTTCTGTCCTGTCATGTGTTAGATCTTTTTTCTCCTTCTTTTTCTTAGGCTTCTTCTTTTTCTTCTTTTTTGCACCTCCCTTCTTTTTCTTTCCTAAAACACTTACTAGAATGAACAATTTAAACTTTCATAATATAAAATCGCATATTCTTAAAATGAAAACTTATTGTTTACATTCAACTGATGTCATTGCCAAAGCTGTAAGATTAACAATAACTTAATTTCAACCTCAATCTGTTTTTGCTTAAATAATTTGACTCAAAAGTTGAAGAAAGTTATATCTATGTTTCAAGAAAATAGGGTTAACGTAATTCTAAATACCTTGTGTGTCTAGCGTTGGTTGTAGAGGTTTGTCTGTTTAAGACGCGAAAAGCATTTTAAAATCGAACAATTATAAAATTACCTCTATCTTTGTTAAGAGCTGATTGAAGGCGTTCTATTTCCATTCTCATAAGCTCGTCGACTACTTCTCTTAACTCGTTGTGTTGATCATAAACAATCTGCGTTCTAGGCTGATCATCCCTGTGTGTCTGATTTGGGTTCGATTCAAGATCGTCAAACCCATTCCACTGAGTGTTGGATTTGTCTAAATGCCTAGTAAAAGGATCCAGCACATCTGTAGGATTCGGTACAACTCCTCTTTTTAGTTTTTCTTCCAGCACCTTCTTTTTCGCTTCGTTCTCTAAACGTTTCTTTTCCTTCTCCTGTAACGACCGTAATTAAATTAAAGACAATAGGCGAAGAATACCCACAAATAAACAAATTTTAATCTTCTTTGAGGTTCTTAAGGTTTTGTAATTTCTGGTGCAGCTATGGCAGAATATTAGAATATTACACCTATGATACATAATATGTTGGATCTAGGGTCTACTTCTACATTTCTTAGCGTTACACATTACATCTTTTTCATTCAATTTACCTCAGCTTTCTTCTCTTTGAGTTGCTGCTTGGTAAGTTTCTCTTTCTTCTGTGACTCCTTCCCCCCAGCCTTTCCCTTAGCCAGTCTGGCGGCCGTGTGTGCTAGGTCCCAGAGGTCCGGGTCAACCCAAAATCCGGCCACAAGAAGGGCGGAGCCCCCGAGCAAGTGTGGAGGAAGACCGGGATACACTTCTCGGTGTCCCGGCGTCACCTTGGTCATTCTCTTGATAAAATCCTCCGGGGTGTCTGTAAGGGAACAGTAAAGAATGATGTTTAAGAAAAAGAAGTACTGCCAAGAATATGGATAAATAGGTAAATGATAATTCCATCTAAACCAATATACTTTTTGCGTGTACTATATGCTTCTTGCACATCACTTTGCTTCACTATCAGCATTCCAAAATGGTCTGGGTATCCAAATAGTTTATAGTGCTCACCATCAAATCTAAATATTGTAGCTTCGATTTCAAGCAAGTTCGATCCTAGACCCAGATGCCATTTGTTATTTGGCTAGGAATAATTTACATTTTTAACAAAAAATGCGATAACTTACTAGACAGTACAGCGTACAATATTCAGCAGTTTCTAACCTGTTTGAATCTCAAATGCTATGATAATAGGGCCACAAAATATACGCAAAATGCGTAATACAATCATTTTAAGTTAAGGATCAACCGTTTACAAGGCCAAATAGTTATACTTTGTCTTTAAAGTAAAATTTCGATTCACCTTTAGGCCATCCAAGCATGCCTTCTGGTTCATCTATCTTAGCCGCCGCTGGGAAGTCAGGGAGCTCGCCGATTCTGCGGTACCAGTCCTGGATGTACCAACGGAGGTGGTCTGCGATGTCGTCCTTGACGTCGTCAGCATCGCGACAAACCTCGACCTTCAGTTGCTGCAGTGCCGCTTCGTACTCTTCATCGGCGACCTTCTGCAGCTCGTGGCGATGGTTATTCACGGCGAGCATCTTGTCCTTCTCGGCGTGCGGGCGCCAGCTAGGAGTCAATTCTCCTATCAATTGAAATATGTGTTTAAGCATAGGCTTGTTAATATATTAGTCTAAATCTAGGTAGCGATCAGCTACCTGGAGCTACTTTTGGATGGACAGAAATATTTGACTGCAATAAGTTTAACTGTACGAAATCGCGTATAATGGATACCTTCTCATCTTTTATAGTTCTTGAATATGAAAGTGGTAAAGGAATAGGAGTTGTACAAAACCCTACGGACCTGCTGGATCCTTTTACATTATAAGGTAGGCTTCAACGGGCAAAGTGAACTATCAAATCACCGCGTCGTTACTGAGTTACTAGAGTACTAGACTATAGGGTAAAGTAACTAGAGCTACTGACTTTTGTTTCAGATCAAGCTCCTGGACTCAACTTGATGCGAAACACCCAAAACGTCGACCCATATTTTTGCCAAGATTCCTTCAGTTACAAAAATATCTGTATGCTAACTGCTCACCCATTAGCAGCCTGTTCCCCGTCATGTGACTCCACGCGCGATGTTTGGCCACGTATCCTCTCCAGAATCTCTGTATCTTATCTACAGATCGCTCCTGTACATCCTGAGGGATAGGTTGATACACGTGCCAAGCAATGTCTCTCTGGATACGCTGCTTCTCTTTCACTGCAACCCAAAATTGAATTAACCCAGTGTACATGGTCATTGGTGGTAGGTTTATAACTGCTCCTATTGTCTCATCAAATTCTGTCCCTTTGTTCCTACTACATACCTAAGTAAACTCTAGGTATTTACCTAAATACTTTTTGAATGAAAGGGGCACTGCTAGTATGTTTTATCTATTGCTAGTAGTTAGCGCCTCATAATAAGGTGCGGAAGGTCGAAGGGCCGATTTTCCTTAAAAGCATTTTAAATTATTTAATCCAATACGGAACTTGCGTAAACATTAAAAAGAAATGCAACATACTTTTCACTTGAATTTCCTAATTAAAATACTTACATTCCTGAGTTTGAAGACGTGCTACTCTTGCCCGTTCGTGTCTTTGGATCAACCCAATCATACTTTTGAAAAGCTGAAAAAATTCAACGACTAAGTACGAATGAAATAATAATGTATGTACCTATTTGATTTGGAAATGCAAAACTCGATAACATTTCAGCAAAAAATTTACGATTTGTGTTTTTACGTTTTACATGATTAAAATCCAGGTAGGCCTATAGGAAATTTCAAATGTTACCAAAAAGCTATTGTTGTTTAATAAGTACGCTTTGATACAGTATTACATACTCAACTTTTCGGAATCATGAAAACAATACAAACTAGTCAACGTGGGTCAGATTTAACAATATAATATAATTAATAGTCAAAGGTTAAATGCATGCATTTATTAATGTCATTTTGTTAACAGTTACCTTTTGTGATTCCGTAAGTTCAACCGTTTTGAATGAAGGGGGTCTGTTACGTATTTTTTTCATCCGCTCTTCCTCTTTCTCGGCTTCCCTTGCAGCCGCTTGTTTTATTTTCAAAGCACTTCCTTGACTAATTGTATCCACTTCTTCATCTGGGACCTCTTCTCCCTTTTGGCTCTTTTCTTCCTCCGAAGCCATATCAAGATTATCCTCATCAACTTCAACTGTCACAGATTTTTCTAAAAGAGAAAAATTTATATGTATATGAGACAAGGTAATATAGTAATACTGTTACTTTTTAACCGGATTTTGTTTTTTAAATAGATTCTAGGTACAGTGTGTGATTTAGATTTGTTATGTAACCTTGTATAGGCTAGAGATAGACGATCTAACCCTGGAATATATTTTGGACCGTACTAATCTGTATAATTAGGAAATATTAAGAGGTGTTTATAAAGAAATACATATATTGTTACTACCAAGTTCCTCCAGAATGGCATCTATGTCGTTGTTGATCTTCGATATCTTCTCGGCTCTCTCACGTCTGTAGTACCTCGGTACTTGGCATTCCACGTCGTAGGGAGTCAATCTCATGTCAGCTAACACCCCGTCAAGGTAGCTGCAATATAGGAGTTTTTAGGGACTTGGCTGTATGACTTCAAAATTCAAAATAAACAGCTACCCCTATAGTTAAACAAATTAGCTACTAATTTAGTTAAGCCAATTTTATCAGCGTAAAACAACTTTTAAATTCTAATTAGTTCAAAAAATGACTGCATCCGTGAGTGGACATTAACGGTTTTCATCCTATCCTCGAAAAAATGTAATCGATGGTGATGTACTTAAGTGTTCAAAGATTGTACTCTTAAAATATCATAAGTTCAACATTTTAGTGTTTAAGTAGCAAGGGGGTTAAAAATGCAGTAAGGCCACATATGTTGTTTATTTTTAGTACTAGCTCAATTTTAGGTCGTGGCTTCACCCGACTAACAACAAATCGTATGAAAAAGATCAACTTTGGCCATCGTGATCAAATATACCATCAGTTTACCATGTGAGTGGCTAAAATAAAGAAATTTCGTACTCATCTATACCACTAAAATTTCGGATATACTTTTTTATGTTTTAATACAAAGAAAATCCAAGTTCCTTAATTTCCTGAACACAAATTAAAATTCAACCACTTGTGCTGTAATCTGTTGGTTTATTTTTACTTTCAAACTTACTGCACAATCTACCTACTACTTACACCCACCAAACACCTTTACATGAACCTGTCGCTGCAACTTCTTCTTTTTCTACTACGTGAGATATGGCTGCCAATTACTTGCACCGTAAATCCCACCTTTTATCTTACTCAAAATTGGGCTACTTTAAAGCATGTCGAACATGAAATTACGATGCGCTGGTCAAGGGAAGTGCAACTGTTGTAAATCAAAAACGTAAATTTATGTATGCAAAGGCAACACATCTGCCAACCATTTCTTGGTAGGAAACCATAATTTACACCTCGCAATAACAACCAATTATGATATTTTATTTGAGTTTAAAGCTCAAATTTCCCTTGTGTTTTACCGACATTATACGTTGAAAAACATTTATAATCCTGTAAACTTTTAAATCGGTTGATTTTTTTCCCTACAAGACGGCAATGCACTTGATATGAATGCAGAGTCCGTGTCGATTGAAGTGCATGATTTTTTACTTACCAACTAAAATATTCTGCTTTTAGCCAGAATCCGGGACAGCTCGAACGAGTTTTAAACTACTAAAATGCTACTTATTCCTCTCAGGATCTAATCTGCAAACCTCTGATCGTTGGAAGAGCAATAAGCATTCACCCTCTTAACCCCGAAAGGTTGTATTTCCCGTAAATAAAATCTTTTACCAGAACGTAAACCCGTATTAAGCAGTAAGCACTTCAAGGATGAACAAATATAGCGATATTCAAGAATGGTGGAGGTCAGCATCAAGTGCATGAATTGACGCTGTCTGAATCCCCGTACAAAAAGGTCTTTGGTCTGTATATAAAAACATATTAAGCCCAAAAACTGTTGATTCGTTACTTAAGAAACTCAAGAAAATGATAAGTGAAGAATGGTGGAACTACTAAGATTCAGAACCTACAATACTTGTTTCATAACACCTATTGCGATTACTGCACTGAGCTAATCTAATTATAAGCTGTTGCTACAAATAATGGCCAAACGCAATTTTTTGTTACGTTAAAGCTTGTCATAAAACAAACATAGATTAAACTACGGTGCTTTAAGAGACAGAAAACACTCTCACTTGAAGTCAGAAAGTTCTTGATTGACCAGTTCTTGCTTGACTTGAAGCATTCTTGATATAGTCGCTTCCAAAAGCGTCCGAACAGTTATCCTTTTATTGGCGTGAACCATCTGATCAAGGCAACTGTTTAGTTTGTTTGCACACCGAGTATACCTGGAAAATTCACATTCAATTGCAACATTACACTTGGAAGAGGACACTTGCGACACTTAAAAAACACATATTTTTTGTTGATTTCTAATTCTACATCAGCTCCTTAAAGATTTCCAACACTTTTTGGGACACTATCCTTCACGAAGCTGGGCAAGGAATGGTTTATCTTTAATTTTAACCTAAGTTACATGAAGGTCAACTCTTATAGGTACTATAACATTGCAAAAACATGTTACTAGGTTCTCTATACATTATTTATGTCCCCATAAAAAGGTAGGTAGTTAGTATGACTAAATTTGATTAAAAAAATATTTAGGAATATTCACAACGACATTAGGGAGCGAGCTGGTCTAGTGGTTACAGCGCTTGATTCCACATTGGAACCGGGTTCAAATCTCGCCAAGTCACCAATGATTTTAACTAATTGGTAATGCTGCAACCCCTAGGTCTAGCAGCCTGAATTAATGTGAAAAAAATCCGGGCTCGTACGTAGTAGCGTCCTAGGACAAAACCATTCACAACAACATTACCGTATGCATAGACCTACCTGATATAATTTGTCGCAGCCTGTTTGAATGCCTTTGGTCTGTCCTCTATCACATCTTGAGCCACGTACTCCTTGTCATCTCTCAGGATATCAGCCAACTCCCCCTCCACCTCCCTCCACTGTGTCTCGTACATTCTGTGTGACATTTTAACGTCTCCGCAGAACACCCACTAGGTCGTGGATGTAAGGGTCCAGCTGGTGATCTCCAGTAGTCTTGGTCCAGTAGTCTCCAGGACAGGTGCAGTGGTCTTGGGTCCTGATGGCTCTCCTCAGTCTACTCTCAAACCTTGCAAGAAACTCACTACTGGTCGCCCTAGGTGAGAGACGGGATATCTCTTCTAGTAAATTAGTCAGTGATCGTGTAGGAGCCGAATCAAAAGTAGTTCTTGGACGGATACCCTCTTCTTCACACTTCTTGAAGAAGGTTTCACAAAGAATCTTTTCCTCAGTTGCCCTCGGGGTGGGTTCTTTGATCCGTTCCGGGTAAGAATATTTCTCAATTATCCTTCTCAGGCCTTTCTTTCTTCTGGAAGTTTCAGATTCGCTTTCGTCACCTGATAGAATGTTTCTGTAGATTCTATCCAACTTCTTTGCTACTTTCCTCGGGTCCTTTTCTTCTGGGAGGGGTACGTAGACATAAACGCCTTTGTCGTCTTTCCCAACGGCGTTTTTCAAAAGAATTTCCTTTTGTTTCGGAGTAATAAAGAATTCAGATTTCAGTTTATCTATAACTTCATTCAACGAGTCTTCGTCCTTCAACGGGTTGAACAAGTTGTGACCACGATTACAGCCTTCTGCTCTGTTACAGCAGGTGTTGAAATCTTTATTTTCCGACTGTGTGTGTTGAAGGTACTTACTCTGATATTTCTCTTGGCTGTCTACGAAATCTCCTTTATGGTATTGAACGTCGTGCCTGGCGTCCAAATCACCAACTCTTCTAAAGCCCTGACAAAATTCTCTGTAGTGTTTTCTGTGTTCCAATACGTTGTCGTGTTCTGACTGCGACCTAGTGTCAAAGTGTTGGCGATGGTTGATCTCTCGATGGTGAGGATTGAACGCAAGAGTATTATGTCTTTCTCCGCGCCCGTGAGGTACTCTTGAGCCTTCCCTTACGTCGGTGGACGAGTAAAGCTGTTTGCAGATCCTGGGGTGTCGATGGTGTCTTCCTCGTTCTCTATGATCCAGGGATTCTTCTACAATCCTCGGGTGGGCTGCTACCTCTTCTTGACTACTCTCTTCACTATCCTCCCTCACGTACCTTGAGTTCCTGTGCTTCACTCTGATCCTTGGGGAAGCGTGTTCCTGTAGATCATCGTCATACAGTGAATGTTTGTACAACCTGTACTCCTGGAGTTCCTGTTCGTTAGGACGTCGCTTGTGGATCACCACTTGCCTCGTTCTCCTCGGTCTCCCTTCAGGGTCTACCAAGAAGTGAGGAGATACAGCCTCCACATGCCGCCGATGACGGTGTTCGGGTTTCTTTAGTCGAGAAATTTTGGAATTATTTTACAAACACTTTTGTGCAAATCTATTATTTTCGGTCAAAAACGCGAATATTCAACTAATCATTAATACGTTAAAACCATCACATCCAATAATTATTACTTGATAATTTTACATAAACATTACGTTTCAACGTTAAATTTGAGATGAATCTACAACCAAATTTGTTTACACTATTTTGGATTTGTTTACATAATTTGCTAGAATAATTCTATCGGGGTTTATCAAAACATCTGTTGCTATAAATCATATAAACACGCGCTCCGGGCACTTTGGTGGTTTAGTTGGTCGGGAAATGTGTGTTAACTATCATTTAAGCCAGGTAAGCAAACAGCCCCCGGGTTATTGTTTCATATAACCTCGATACTTTCAGCTGCACCGCTTGTGAAACGTATTTGCGATGTTTCACAGCATGTCAAGCACGTTTGCAAAGGTTTTCGGACCAAATGTAAATGAGGATAGCTTAACAAATCTCGGCATTTATTCATAAGTCTTGTAAAATATTTGTAATATAATCCTTGATCTTTGTTAAAGGTGGAATTAAAAATAGTTTTAATGAGCCAACGTTTTTTATTATTTTTTATTCTTTGTTGTTTGCACTTGGTATTTTTAGTTAACGAATCACAGCCACATCTAAGAGAAAATTGTCCAAACTATTTAATTTTTCTATTGATATGCTTGGGATCGAACTGCCACTCTCGCACTTTAGTTTTTATATTTAAATGGCAATTAAATTCGGAGGTTCCTACTTTAATTAGTTTCTATAAGATCGAATTGTTTATCATTGTTCAGTCAAATACTGTTTATTTACCACATTATTTAGCCTGTGACAAATTAGTCTAACCTACTTGGGTCCAACTAATCTATATGTGAACTACGGACCTGTTTAGTGAAAAACTAGTGTAATTGGTTTCATTTACTTAAACAGTATGATGCATTAGAGGCTAAACTTGAAAACTTGACTCAAAAGGTGTTTAAGAACTAATAATAATGAACGAGTTAACATACAGAATCGAGTCCTTCCACAGTAGTTTTTAATATGTATAAATTTTATTTCACTGTCTGCGTGGCATTTGACTTTATATGTTTATAAACTTTTCTTCGTTTCGTTCGATAACAGTCAAAAGCTGGTCTTAACTGAATCTAACCAATCTAACGTTAATCCGCTATAAACCACCCTTGACTAATACCTTTGACTATTGACAGAACTAGACATACCATCGCCATGTTAAGTTATAGTTGCCAACAGTTTTTTTTTTTTTATTAACATACTTCAAGTGAGCCACCGACAGATTGCACCGATATGAATTTAACCTACTGATAGAATATTTATTAAACTGACATTTTAACCAAGTCAAACTGATATGAAACATTTTAGACATTGGTGCATTCTATGACTGACTGGCTAAGCTTTATTAATTTTGTTTTAAAAAATTGGCAATAGGTTGTGCACATAGATGGGATGTATATTTTATCATCCAAAGGTTAATGGGACTTAATTTAATATGGTAACAAGCTGTTGGCCCGTACAACGTACGGGAATCGAGTAGTCAGTTAAAATTGTGTTTAATTCAGAACAGCTAGTTATGCATTTTAAATCCGATAATTTTAAATCCCTGAAACGGTTCTTGGGAGCATAGCATTCGATTCGTATATACAGCAATGGTCTTACTTATCTCTGTGGTCTACTCATATCCTACCAATCTTACTTGTTTCCTATAATCAATGACAAAATCATAGACTAAATAAAATAACCTCATAGTTCTCTAGAATATTTATATCCATCCAGCTGTTTGTTCAAACAAATTATATTGCAAAAAATAAAAATAAAGAACATTTTTTTATTAACGTTAATAACACGTAAAAATTACAACATCTTCATTTTTCCAAAATGTTTTTAAATCAAGTTAAAAGTTAAAAAATGTCTATTTCTAATGTTATCTTTTCCTACGCACACAATTTACTTTCTCCTCACTTCCTTACGGACAACTTTACCCCATGCTTTACCCTCAATCCATGTCGCATTCTTCAGTTGGGATTGTTTCTTTAACTAAACTCTTTGGCCAATCGATAATGGAGGCAGCTCTGTGGTTCCATGGCCATGCTGACTTTTGTACTGACTCCTTTTTCGTTCCCATAGATTCTGAACATTTTGTGGAACCTGTGACTTCAGAAAGTTCTTATTTATTAGCAGTTTGCTTTGTGTTCTTCAGTTCACGAGAAGTTGAGCAGGGCTAAAGCCAATCCCTTGCAAAGGAGTGTTCCTGAGATCTACCAACAGATAGGCTACCAATACTAAATATGGCTGACGACAACTTATTTAATGTTTGCCACGGTGAGTTTTGGGAAATTAGATGCTCGGCTGGTCCAATGGTAGTGAGGAGCATCTGTCCTTGGGGTAAAACCACCAAAGACTTTTAATTTTATGAAATGATGTAACCAAACAAAAAAGAAGAGGTTTCTCAAACGAAGAAACCATTTTCTGCTTTAAATAACTCTACCTACTAAAATCTATACGTTATTTACCAGTAAACTGGTTCAATGCTGATTTGTGACCGCACCGGCTACAACAGTATTTTAATTTGAAAGTTAGAAGCCCCGCTAAGATATGCGGCCGATCGTGAGTCCGCCAGCTCTTCTGCTGAAGAAGTGACTACTTCAGCCCGATTGGCCGGCGGCCGTCACGACGAACCAATCCCGTACCCGTCCGCCTTCTATTCAAATCCGAGTGTGTTCCAATTTTGCAATTATTTCAAGTCTTATTGGTCAGTTTTAATCAGGGACGGGTCACGCGCTGAGGTCGTGAGGTCAGCAGAGGGGGGGGGGCACGATGAGCGGGGCACCGGTCTAGGAGAGGTTGGTGAAGCTGGATGTTTGGTTGTAAATAATGTGAATAGTTGATATTAGATATTGTATGGAGTAGAGATTGCATCTGTAGTGAGCAAGATATAGAGAAATAATGTTTAAGATATTTAAAATATGCAAAAAATAGGGGCTGCAATTTGAGTATTTTAAAGAGGTTCAAAACTCGTTTCAGAGGGAATGTTTTACATCGAAATTTCATCAATAGTTAGTAATATACCAGCTACTTAGGACTCATGGGGATGGGCTTACCAAGAAGGTTTGAAGATTAATTTTGTTTTGTAAATATTGTGTGTTCAATTTTGTTTTCATCATTGTTTTTAGGGGGTGATGTTATATACATATATATTATATTTTACAATTGTAGGCATATGTACGACTACTCTGTAGGCCCATGTAAAACTACTCTAAGCAAAGCTCATGTGACTTCTTCTTGTTCACTTCTTCCATGTCTTGTCTGCTCCAAAGATGTAGCTTTGTGCTAAGTGTTGAATTTATTATATCTAAATACATCTTTTAAATATACTTTGTGTTGTTATTATTTAGAAGTCCATGAAGAACGAAGAGTTTCTACACTATTCATTGGTTTCTATCAGTTGCTTTAAATATACCAGCTGATGTAGACATTGCGTATTTGTTTGTTTATTTATTTTAGTGTTTTATTTTTAGAATGGTAATGCAGTGTTGAAATGTATCGTGTTAGGAGAAGACCACGACTACGAAGGAGAGTATTTAGGAATGGTGCAGAGCATAGGGAATGGTTTAGGACATGTATTACAACGGAGGTGA